GGGAGGCTGCATTTGCACCAAGGAATAGGAGGGCATAGACGGGGAGTAGTTGTCGACGGTGGAGCCGATAACTCGTCATGGTCGTCCTTCTTGGCGGCGGCGGCGTCGAAACTGCAGGCCTCGTTGTCGATATAGAACTAGTTCAATTAATTGTAGAATATTTCGGAGTGGCGGTCGGGTTCAAGGGAAAAGAGGGTAAGGAATGGACGGAGGTAGGAAGACACACCTGGCGTTGCCTCACGTTTAGTTTTCTCTGCGCCCACTCCTCGAGGCCCGACACGGGCAACTGGTCTCTCCAATGACGCTTGCAATCGTATTCAAATAATAGTATATTGAACTTTTGCCACGCTAACTGTGCAAACTACGCTAGGGCTACGCTGCAGCAGCAGTGTCTATTGTATATAGGGCGCAGAGCAATGAAAGCGCTGTTGATCACTCAAACTTCCACTCCCATTTGCTCTTAAGAGGAGATGGACTCGAAACTAGAGGAGAATGATCTTGATATCAGAGCGCAAGCAAGACGCGTAATAGAGGATATTGATGCCGCTCAAAGGGATTCACCCAATGTGGCCGACCTCTTCAACTTTTACACTCGATATAACGGTTTGGTCGATGAAGCACAGCAACGGAAAATGATAAAAGTGCCCGATAGATTCTCTGTCCTGCCTGTGGAACTCATCCATCAGATACTCCTCCAGTGCTGTCGTGATTCGACAGACGACCCCCTACTACTCTCTTCCGTTTCATCACGTTGGTTCAGACTAGTCTGCGATTTTCCCGACATATGGACCAAGATCATGATCAACACGAACGAGGAACAATGGGAGGAACGACTAGAAGTTTACGCACGTCGCTCAAAGGATCGTCTGTTGGACGTTACCTTGTGCTTTCCTCTCAGCTCTGAACAAGTTACGACCATCATAAACAGTCATTGCTTGACCCGCTGGCGATCCCTCACCGTGATCGACACTCGCTCCGACAAGGAAAAGGGTACCTGGAGTTTTCTTCTTCGCCTGACAGAACCCCAGGACTTGCTCCAGCTCTTCCGGTTCAACAACTTTCCAGAGCTTCGTCAAGTTGACATACGGGTCAAATCCCCCTACACCCGAGAACCATGTCTCTGGAGCGGCATCTTTTTCAACACTCCCACTCTCCAAAGCCTTTCCATCTCTCCCGTCCTACTCTCAAACCTGACCATCAATCTTATCTTTATAGAATTTAGTGCCTTATTGGTTTTATTGACGGAAAACCCAGGTCTCGTCTCGATTAAATTATCGTCGCAGAGACGTCTCTTCCCACTCGTAGCAAATCACACAGCCAAGATCCCGCTCCACCATCTTCAGAGTCTAGTATCTGAAGATATGGTCGATGTCTTGTCAATTCTACAGCACATTGACTGTCCCAATCTCCAAACGCTCCAGCTGAGCTGTGCCACCGACAAACTCCCTCCTCTGATGGACCACATTGTGCCCTTGCACCATCTCAAGATCCTCAAACTCAAGATCGGCGGACCCACAGAAAACGAGTTTCTGCCCAAAAGCAAATTTAGTCGCAGCCCGAGCAATCTACACTACCTTCGCATCGAATACTATGTCGCAGACGTGCCCCCTCGACATAGAATGTCGTCCGCCATCTCTCAAATAGCAACCTTTTTTCCAACAGTCAAGATCGCTAGGATCATCACTGACAACAACAGCACCCAGTGGCGACATATCCTCGGTCGGTTTACGGACCTCGAAGAGCTGATTATCGAATACGATACCAGAAAAGTCACGTACACAGAAGACAAGGCGGCTCCCCTCGCGTCCCGAGCCAACATTGTCTTGCCCAAACTACAAAGCCTCCAGATAAGAGGAGACGCTGTTCATGTCATTCTCCGCAGCTTGAATGCACCCAGTCTAACCTTTCTCAGCATCAAGGATACCAAAAGCTTTGACGTCCATTCACATTTATCTCTATCTGCACGATTTCCTGCCGTTCATACGTTGCAATTCCAAGCACTCTGTCCCGATTCGGCACTCAAAGAGATTGAACAACGTCCAGCCAACAAACATGCCTTGTACCCTTCCTCAATCGAAGAACTCGTCACCATGCACGATTCATGCCCTCTCCTCGAACACATGGACCTCTCAAGAGTACGAACCCTCCGGCTCAACGGCGTCCTCCAAGACTTTGCAATGACCCGAGACGCCCTCCACTTTACCCCAC